TATTTTGCTAAACCACTGTGTTTGTTGTGCCAATTAGGCCTTCTTAGAGTAATTATAAGCTATGAGTAGAGGTATTTCTAGATAATGACATTGATTTGGCTTTAATGTTTCATTTTCACTCAACAAATACAAAATAAAGGCTTTATGTCAAGACTTAGGTCTGTTAATGGCATGAATTATGCTCAAAATTCCATTTTACTTGGCCTTAGAGGAGCATGGAGAGTTTGTGCCAAAAACTTAACAAACCGTAATAAGCCAAATTTTTCTCGACTGATTTTGATAAATGGGTTACTAAAGTACATCCTGGATTTGGTATGAAAGTTATGCAAGAAGGTAGGTGAATGTTATGGTTTCTTGAAAAATGGCAATTTTGGGTAGTGATTTTTGACCTCAATTTTGACCGAACTTTAGCCAATGGCCCCTTCTCTGTCTAATCCCTTGAGAACAAAGTTACATTTAGGAAGTAAAAGCTCCACTATAGTAGAGTCAATGGTCAAATTCATTTGGCAGCACAATTTACCAATGCAGTTTTATAGCACTTTCAAAATGCCACCTAGAAGGATGAATTTTTGGAGCTCTATAGGCCCCAAATGGGGACCCCCCGAAACTTCAGAACAAACAGTCAGAGAAGGGAGCCAAAGTGGCTTTTAAAATATTTTATCACACTCAACTTTTGTGCCAAGTTTCAGCCAAATCGGTTGACTACCACTTTTGGCTCCTGGAACACTTTCTCAGACAGGGACAATTGAACTCAAATAAATACGGGAGAATGTTTCCCTTTGGCAAAAAACTTATTCTTTCACCATTTCAACATTCCAACCAAGTGATTGATTACAACTTAACTGTCAACCAGATCAAAGCCAGGACAAAGCCAGAAAAAAATTACCCAAAAACTATCTTTTGCGGTTGACAGAACAAAGATTCTCACATCTTTAGCCACCTTATATATGCGAAATATAAATTTTACCAACCTTGATGCCACCTTTTCCATTCCCACTACACATGCCTGATTCACCTTTCTCTCCCTGAACAATGAAAACAAATAAGAATAACCTTTTGGTGACCATGGTAAGTTTGATTTATCATCTTTTACATTGGTCTTAATTTTGGTTCAAAAAATTCGTAACCTTTGCTCCAACTGTTCCATCGCGTCCATCTCGTCCTATGTGAAAAATATCAGCGATCATTACAAAATGCGAAAACAGGAAAAACAAAAACAGTATGCATGGTTACTACTTAACCACTTTGATCTTCGACAA